AAATCCAGGTTAAATTCGTTATAATCTGGATTATACTAGTTACTATCTGAAATTTTTTTTCACTCAATATAATCTGGGATGATATAATCTTTTTGGGATAATTAGATAAAAAATTTGTTTTTTTATCTTTCTGCTAATTTTTTATAAAAAAAAAAATTCTCTACTTTAATTAACCACAAGAATAAACCATCAACCTCAAAAGTTACCACAAACTAGATCCTAAAAAAAAAAAAATAAAAAAAGGAGCTTTCTAACATCCCGTCGGATATGGCCGTAAAGTAAAGATGAGAATGCAGGGTTTCAATTTCAAAGTTTTGAGACTCTGAAGGGTGAGCGCCATACTTTGTAGGCCCCACCCCAATCTCAGAGGCCGCCTCTTCGTCGAAGCGCCTCGAGGGTTGAGAATGATATAGGGGTGGCGGCCGCCATTTTGAATTAGTCGCGCTTAGAGTTACTAAGGGGGTTAAATTTTTATGAGAGTCCGAAGCAGCACATTTACAAACTCCTTCCACGGTGAGCCTTGGAGCTAGCTCCTACGTCGTAAATACCGGGTTGTTTTCCGTATTTATTACTATTATTATTATTACTAACAACAGTGAACTATAAATAAATAAAATTTTGCATTATTAAATAATGAATTTGATTAAATTGCACTGTACTTTCTTAACTATTCACATTTTTAAAAATATAAGCTCATCCCGATGTTACACTCATCAAGAGCTGTCATTTGAGTACCCACATGCATTTTTGATATATTTTTCATTTATACATATATATATATATATATATATATATATAAAATATATGAAAAATTGATGTGGGTACTCAAATGAAAGGTCTTGATGAGTATAACATCGGGATGAGCTTATATCTTAAAAAATATCAAAAGTTCACGAGATACAAGGTCATTTCTTAACTATGCATCTAGAGATAATATTTAAATGAAGCCTAAATAATCATCATAAATTGACTATTGGTGAGAATGATATAAAACCATAAAAAGGCACAATTTGCTTATTCTCTTAATAATACAGATTATTATTATTACTATTTGTAAGCATGTTGATAGTAAATAATTTATCAATTGAATTGAATTACCTTGTTTTTTCAGATATTCACCGGCTGTCATTTAACAATTAAAATTAAGTGGAAAACGCGAGTGGTGATGCGAGGTGAATGTACCATACATAGATGTCTGAAATAACGAGCGCAAAGTCATGAATTTCAAAACAGCACAACTGTCACGTTGCAGACAAATTTCTGTCTGGAAAATCCATTATATTTGTTTAACTTTCTATCCATGCTGTTCAATTCATCTCTATCAAAATATCTATTAATTATCGTGTTTATCAATTAATTAATTTAATTATTAAATATTTTTAATATTTCAGGCGATTATTCAATTCATTTTCTAACTATCGATTATACTTTTCACTTATTAATTAGAAATTATAACGCAAGTTTGGATTCTAAGCACGGGTGATTAATTTCCGAGCGAGCGATTTTTGGAGTGGGAGGGATAATTGACCGCTGGGGGCCACTCCATCGGTAATTTTAATCTCAAGGTAAATTTGTTTACCGAGCTAAATTGATTGAAAGTATTTGTAAATGAATTTTAGGGATTTTTGTCAATAAAAAAAATTATTTACTAATTTTTACACTATTTTTTTCCCCTTAGAAGCTCAATTTGCAACCCCGATAGCTTAAAAAATTTTTTTTCAGTGATTATAATCACAAATAAGAGCTTTTTTAACAAAAAAATCAAAAAAAAAATCCGTGACCTTGAAATACCTAACAAAGAAAACTTTTTTTCTAATTGACCTAGGGCAGTGGATTTTTTTTTTACAGATTCTTGGGTGTCTCTGCCACCCTCTCATATAGATATTGACGGCAAAACATGCAATATTCCAATATGGCTCATGGATTTTCGAAATGGTCGCATAAATCTGGCTATCTAAATTAATATTTGGCTATAAATAAGCGATAAATTGACCAGATTTATAGAGTAGTTAAATTTCCGGAGGTATAATAAAAATGTATTTTGTAAAAAAATGTGTAATTTATAGCTTTTTTTCATGAATTGTAATAAAAAAATTGAAAATAAAGATTATTAAGTAATTTTTTGGTCGGAGTAAAATATTTTTAATGTAAAGAATAAAAGCAAGCTCCCGTTCTTGGATCGATTCACGTATCAGTGTCCGAGTGGATTAGCTTGTAATTGGTAACAATTGGTTCGTTAATCTGTATATACATTGTACATTGTCCGTAATCATTAACCCTTAATCGTTGAGGTGGATCATCTAAGACGAAAAATATTGGCAAAATTTTAATTAAAAATTATTAACTGCTAAAATTATTGACTAAATTGTAAATCAAAAATAGATTTTATTGCTAAATTAATTTTGTGACACTTTATCAATTAAAAATAAATTGAATTAATAAATTATCAAACGTATGACAGAAATTTTACTAGACAAAATATAGTGACTATACTCTCGAATTGATTTGTAATTATACTGCGGTAATGTAACAATTGTAGACGAAAATCCCACAAAATTAACGGATATTACGTACTTGGCAATAAAGAGGATGAAAATACACGGTTTGAGGGATATATATAGCTTGGTAAGTGGAATTAATGTGGTGTCATGTGTGTTGTACTCTGGCTCAATTTAATATCCATCGCGATGTACCGAAAATCGCGTATGTGCCCATGGAATCGATTATTGCGAAGCCGGAGAATACAAGTGCCGCTTATCGTGTCAATTCATTACATTTGTACATTGTAGATTGTTCCATCGACATACAATCGTTTAAACACATGTTATTATCTATTTTATTTAATTATATTTCTGATCTGAGTATCCTCTATTCACAATTCACATCACAGCCTCCTGTAATCCTCCATGTTTAATTTTATTCGACACTCCATTCGTTAATTACTTTATTTAATTATCCATTCATCTATATCTCGATTATTCGCCCCGAAATATCTACATTCGATAAGCCATTCACTTTTTATCACATTTATGTCATTGAGCTATCAAGTTTCGCATCATTTCGTCCTCGAATATTGATAACTGTCAGTTATCCTCGGACCACACGTCAAAAATTCCATTCAGGACATTTCAGAGTTGCTGAGTGATGAAATTTGATAAAAAATTTATTAAATTTTATCATTTTTTATTAATTATTTAAATATAATCTCTTTTTTTTTTATTTTTATATCATTTTTCTGCTAAATAATTGTAGTTTTCTTTAAAATAATCATTTTTTTCTATTATATTAAGATTTTTAATTAATTATTTTTTGTATAATTAGACAGTAAATTATAACGCAAGTAAATTTTAAACTTTAATAATTAGTTTTTTTGGTTCCTAATAATTTAATTTTCTTAATTTAGCATTTAAAATAATTAAAAAAGACAATTTTGGATATAAATAGTCAAATTAATGATTTCAAATAATAATTTTTTTCAATTTTAAAATTCTAGATCATAGAAAAGGAGATTTATAACATTTAAAGTATTTTTTTTATCTTAAATAATTATTTTTGCTTTTTTTATAATTAAAAAACAATAAAAAAATTTTTTTTGATATCTATATATAGTTTTTTCCATTTTTAAAATAAATTCTTCATAATTCAGAGTGAAAAATAATTAACAAAGACACTTTTGGATATTATTAGCTTAGTTTTTGATTTAAAATAATAAATTTTTCATTGTTTAGGTAAAAAATTATACAGAACTCTATTTTAAACATTAAAAATATAGTTTTTTAATTTTAAATCCAAAATTTATCTTTTTAGCGCCGAAAATGATGAAAAAATAAAGTTTTTAACAATACAAACCCTTTTTTTGGTCCCTAATCGTCAATTTTCATTATTATTGAGTTGAAAACTTTAAAAAAAGTATTTTTAGGGACTAAAACCCAATTTTTCGTCTAAAATAATGAATTTTTTATCTTTAAAGAGGAGAAACTGTGATAAAAACAAAATTTTGAAGATAAGTAGACCGTTTTTTGATTCAAAATGACAAGTTTTAAGTAGAATCTAAAAATTTTAACGAAAATTGTAATAATACAGTTACTTAACCAGTTTTTTTTTGTTAAATTATTTTAATTCTTTAATTCTAATTCATTCTTTAATTAGAATAAACAATATGCGAATTAATATAATAAAAATTATAATTTTATAAGCTACACACTTATTTTAATGAGTTCAAATTCAGAAATGAACAAAAAACACTAAATTTTTTAATTTTTTTGAATAAACGCGGGAAAATTGACGTCATAGATACCCTACCGCCATCTAGCGGTTCAACTATGAACTTCTTTGACTAAAAATCCTGTAATTTTGTTAATAAGATAGGTTTTTGGATTTCCAACAAAATTAAATCACTGCGGCTGGATAATCGCCCTGATAGCCAAACCGGTCGCAACTTTCCGTTGATTTGCTGCAACAACTTGTCACCAAGTTGGCGGCAAGTCTTGGAAATGAACTCGGTTGTTCACCAAGTTGTCGCCAAGTTGTCGGCAGAAATTGCTTTCGAAACTCTTTCGCACCAAGTTGACGACAAGTTTCTCGAGAAATTGCGGCGACATATTGCGGCAGTAGATTGGTCTTGTTTTTCTCAGAAACTTGTAGCCAACTTGACGCCAACAGTTTCAAATTTGGAAGTTGACCGCAAGTTGTCGGTAAGTTAGTGGCAACTATCTGACACCAACTTGGTTGGTCTGAAACTGTAGCTATCAGGGCGATCAGCAAAATAAAATAGAATAAAATTTCCAGCTGTCTTGACATTCCACGAGCCGTAAGTTGATCAAACAATCAATTAAAATACCTTTTAATTATAACAATACCAATAATTCTTATCTATAAAATACTTTAAGTAATGATAATAATAATAATAATTTAGTAAGAAAATCATTGTAAATTTGCATGTAACCTATTCTTAAAAGCACGTGTACTAATAATGAGCCCCAAATTAGAAATCCCTTAAGATGACTGAGTTGACGGCGGAGGAAAAGTTCCAACTGATAACTCGGAATCTCGCAGAGTGGCTCGGAGAAGACAAGCTAAAGACCATCCTCCAGGAACGAGATCTCAAAGTCTACTGGGGAACTGCGACCACAGGAAAGCCGCACATTGGGTACTTCACGCCGCTATCCAAGATCGCTGACTTCTTGAAGGCTGGCGTTGAAGTTACAATTCTGTTTGCGGACTTGCACGCTTATCTGGACAATATGAAGTCTTGTTGGGACCTATTGGCTCTCAGGGTTCAGTACTACGAAGCGCTGATCAAGGCTACGCTCAAGTCTATTGGTGTTCCTTTGGATAAATTGAAGTTTGTCAAGGGAACCGACTACCAGCTGTCTAAGTATGAACAGTAACTTTGATACCAATAGTGCTGGTAATTGATAATGTCTTTATTTTTCCAATTAGAGAGTACACTCTAGACGTCTACAAGCTAACGGCATCAGTAACAGAGCACGACGCCAAAAAAGCTGGAGCTGAAGTCGTTAAACAGTCAGCAGATCCTCTGCTGTCTGGACTTTTGTATCCAGGACTCCAAGCTCTGGATGAACAGTACCTGGGAGTAGATGCTCAGTTCGGTGGAGTTGACCAGAGGAAGATCTTTACTTTTGCTGAGAAATATCTGCCGAAACTTGGATATGAGAAGCGGATCCACTTGATGAATCCCATGAGTATGTTGTTCATAACTTATCATCATTTTTCATTTGATTCTTATCATTGTTCTTATATTATTTATAAAATTTTTTTCAGTTCCTGGTCTAGCTGGTACTAAAATGTCCTCATCAGAAGAAGATTCTAAAATAGACTTACTAGACAACGCAGCAGCGGTTAAAAAGAAGCTTAAAAAGGCATTCTGTGAGCCTGGAAACATTGTTGATAATGGAATTCTTTCGTTTTCTAAGCATGTTATCTTCCCGATGATGAAAGCTGGAGAGAAATACTTGGTACCGAGACCTAAAGAGTTCGGTAAGTTGTTTCATAAAATAAAAATTAATACTAGCAACCTTTCAGTCACTATGTCAACTATAAATAAGTAAAATTTTGATTTTATTAAACAATGAATTTTGTTAAATTGCACTGTGCATTCGTAAATATTGACGTATTTGAAGATGTAAGCTCATCCTGATGTTCTACTTATCAAGAGCTTTCATTTGAGTACCCACATGCATTTTTTATATATTTTTCATATATACATATACAGTCGAACCTGGATAAGTGAGAAAACTCTATAAGTGAGAGTAATAGCCAGGACCCGTCATTTTAAGCTGCTCCCAAAACCTCTATTAGCGAGAAACAGAAACCTCTGTAAGAGAGAGTCGTTTTTCTTTCATGGACCTCCGTAAGTGAGACTGCTGTTTAACTATACCTCTATAAGCGACATTCGAACTTTATTTCTTTATATTATTTAGGAGGAACTACAGCTACAATAAAAATACATACATAGATAAAAAATACACATCCAATGAAGCTAGCTATAAATGCGTTGGAGACGGTCCATCAGTACTTTTAATACGCGGCGGTTGTTGATCAAGCAATATTCGACAAAATTTATGAGTTAGAGAAAAACATTCAAAATACAAAAACAGAAACCCAAACGAAATTGACGGATTTTTTTAAGTGTAAATAAGTTCTAAATAAAATAAAATTATATAGTGCATGAATTTTTGTTTTGTTTTCGTAAGCATCTTGATACCTACTCTTTTAAAGTACTTATATGTCGAATGTGACTTGTTATTGCTGCGTATCTCTATAAGAGAGAAACGCTACCCATATATCTGCATTAGCGAGAAACCTCTATAAGCGAGAATGAGATTGTGCTCCCTTGAACTCTCGCTTATCCAGGTTCTACTGTATACATAAATATATAAAATATATGAAAAATTGATGTAGGTACTCAAATGAAAGGTCTCGATGAGTGTAACATCAGGATGAGCTTATATCTTAAAAAATGTCAATAATTATCAAGATTCAAGGTCATTTCTTAATTATGTATCCTGGACACAAAATTTTTCTTATTCTCTTAATGATATAGATCATAATATTGATGATTAATTGATTGATTAAAATTCCAGGTGGAGACATAGAATTTGAAAAGTATGAAGACTTAGAAGCAGCTTTTGCTAAGGAAATAATCCACCCAGGAGACTTGAAAGCTGCCGCAGAAGTCTACATCAATAAACTGTTGGATCCAATCCGCAAGGCGTTCGAAACGGACCCTAATTTAAAGACTCTGAGCTCTAAAGCTTACCCGCAACCCGGAAAGGAGAAAAAACAAGGTAATTTTAATAATAAAATTAAAAAAAAATAAAGATTAATTATTGTTTAACATTTTTAGTCGAAAAAAAGAACCCAGCAAACCAACCAGCAGAAATAGAACCCTCTCGCTTGGACATCCGTGTAGGAAAAATCGTCGAAGTTTCTAAACATCCTGACGCTGACTCTCTTTACGTCGAAAAAATCGACGTTGGAGAAGCTTCTGGGCCAAGAACTATTGTCAGCGGGCTTGTTAACTTTGTTCCTATTGAGGAAATGCAGAACCGCATGGTGGTCATCCTGGCTAACTTGAAGCCAGCTAATCTCCGAGGTGTCGCTTCTCATGGAATGGTTCTTTGTGCTTCAGTGTAAGTATTTAATTTATTAATTTATAAAACTAACTAATTTAAATAATTAAATAAATCTAGGGACGGAGAGGAAAGAAAAGTTGAGCCTTTAAGGCCACCAGCAGACGCGGCTCCAGGTGACAGAGTCATTGTTGAAGGCTACGAAGGAACTCCAGATGAAGTTCTCAATCCTAAAAAGAAAGTTTGGGAAAAACTCGCCGTTGACCTAGTGGTCAATGCTAATGGCGAAGCTTCTTGGAGCGGGAATTTATTGGTCACTGCTTCAAAGGGAAAACTCACTGCCGACTCGCTTAAAAATGTTCCTATTAAATAAAAATTGTAGTTTCAATTTTTAATAAATCTTTTTTTTCCACTCAATTAAATTTATCATTAATTAAAATAATAAACTCAATTCTTTTCAATCAATATTTTTAACCAGGGTGGATAAATAATTAAGAAATGACTTTTTATCTTGTGAAATATTCACATTTTTAAAGATATAAGCTCATCCTGATGATACACTCATCAAGACCTTTCATTTGAATACCCACATCAATTTTTCATATATTTTATATATTTATATATACTATATATATATGTATATATGAAAAATATATCAAAAATGCATGTAGGTACTCAAATGAAAGCTCTTGATGAGTATAACTTCAAGATGAGCTTATATCTTAAAAAAATGGCAACATTTAAGAAAGTACAATGAAAAAATTAATCGATTTTTGAAAATCTTCCATTTTCTTAACAGAAAGTTAAAAAAGTAAATTAATAATTAAAATACTCGTTTATCATAGAACTTAACAAAAAATATATTTATTATAGAATTACAAGATAAAGTAAAATTAATTAATTATTTAATGGTCGATGATAATTAACTCATCGATCCCCCAATCTTCGTAGCTGTTATCCGGCAAGTAGCGTCTGATAACAATTGGAATTTTTCTTTGTTTCAACTCTTTCATAGCAATTTGCAACGGGTCTGTCTCGCCTTCTAATTCGACCATCACTGGAGCGCACATAGCTATCTGGAGGGCTCTGGTGCCTAGGACTCGAGCTCTTTCGTACCTGTAATTTCAAAATTATTACAATCTTGTTTTTTTTTTTTTTTTTATTTTTTAAATCTAAACAATATCTAAGAATTAATTCAATTAATAATTTATCTAATTTAATAATTAAAAAAATATTAAAATAATCAAATTTATCAATTTATATTTTATAATAATAATAATAATAAATATTAACTTTGTCATATATCGCGTGGTGATCCGTTTAGACTTGGTAACACTAGCAGAACTTTCTCCAGACGGCAAAACATCAAAATGTCCATCAGCTGCATCATCATCGTGCTGTTCCAGATCTAAGTTGTCATCCTCCTCATCCTCGAATTCTTCTGCGTTGCTATTTTAATAAAAAAAAAAACAAATATGTCACTCAAAAAATCTAACTCAGCGGCACAATAATAAAAAAATTTTAGGTTAACTAGTACTTACTCATCTCCATCAAAATCTTCATCAGCCATTATGTATTTAATTTAATTTTTCACTTTTAAATCACTAAATAAAATATATTAAACTTTTATTTATTATAAATTTTCAGTAAAATATTATTAAATTTCACAATTAATATTTGCACGTATATACAATAATGTGCGATGCTTCTAAATAGTAGGTTCGAGAATTAATACGCATGTATTTATTGAGCGGTAGCTAAGTTTTGTGCTGCCATCTGGTGGATATTAATTTACCTATCGATTTACCCGCGAGAATTTAAATAACTCAATTTTTATTTTTCAAGCTTTTTGTTAATCTTTTCAAGTAAACAATATATTTTTTTTAATTTAATTATAATTAGTAAAGAAATTTTTTCTAAAAAGTTATTATTAAAAAATTGAATTTTTTCTTAATTTCTACATGAATTTTTTGTCTGCTATAATTTATTTGTTAAAAAATTCTTTTTAAATATTGAACAACTGTTTAATTTATTTAAATGTTTTTAATGACATTAAAATTAAATTTTATTTATAAAAAAAACAATTATTAAAAATAATGATTTTGAAATTAAGAGACTTCTAATATTTTTTATAAATTTTTTAACTAATAAATTATAGCAAAAAAAAATTATATCTATTTTTAAAAAAAATTCTATTAATCAGAAGCTTTAAAAAATAATAAATGCAATTTTTTAAAAAATAATTTTGAAGCTTTAATTAATTATTATTAATTAAGGCTTGAAAATTATCATTAATAATTAATAATTATTAAAAAAAAAAACCAAAGCTTATTAATTAATGTCATTAATTATAACTTTTATTTAAATTTAAATATTATATTTTCTTTTTAATTTAAATTTTCCCGCCATTAATTTGAATTCTAGGAATTGCACGCCATCTAACGTGTTCCAAGGTTAAATTAAGAGAAGCTAGTAGGATAATTGATTTTTCAGGAGATTTTTACCTGACCAAAGAAAGGTAAATTAATATTATTGATGATAATAATAATAATAATAATAATAATATAACGATTAATTACAAAAATGCGCATGCGCAAATTGGAACCTTGGCCCGAATTATACTGCTTAATTGTTAACAACAGAAACAAGTAACAAAAAGTGGTGTTTAAAAATGGCTGAGGCTCCAGATTTGGTGTTTTTTGATCTAAGAACGGTCCACGATAATTTTGACCGAGCTTTGATAGAAGATGATGATGTTAACATCAAAGCGTACCTCGAAGCTTACAATGAGCTTTATAAGTAAGAGATTTTTAATATTTTTGACTTAAAACAAAGGAATTTTGTCACGTCAGCTTGCTTTATTGTTGACAATTAAAGAATAATAATAATATTAATTAAAATTTGTAATTTTAGATTCTTTCAATTAATGGGAAGCGTCTTTAGCTTCGTCTCGTCGGACTTGAAGCAGAAAATAGACGTGCTTAATGACCTGGTGATTAAAAACGATAATTATCAATCGATAAAGTCGATGATTGATTATGAAAAGGAGAATAAATTACTTGAAAAAAGTGACTATACTAATGGCGCGAGGACGTTGCTAAGATTACACCGTGGACTTGGTAATAATTTACGCTGATTAAAATAATTAATATTTATTCTAGTTTTTTCTTTGGTTTAAAAATAGTCGAGATAAAAAGTTTAAATTTTTATCAGTTAAAAAGCTTAAAATGATTATTTATATTAATAAAATTATTAATTTTTAAAAACATGAATTGATTAAAAATTTGTTTTAATAGAAAAAAATTAAGAATTTTTAATAATTTCTTTTTTTAAAATACAAAATAATTAAGAGTTGTTTTGATTAATTTGTTGTTAATAATTGATAAAATTGTTTTAGATTTTATACGAGAATTTTTAAGGCAATTAGGAGAATTAAAAGAAACTGATAAAACAAGTAATTGTTGTCAGGATGCTTATCAAAAAACATTATCTAAGCATCATCCCTGGGTGATTAGGAAAGCTGCTGTTGTTGCCATGTACACTATGCCTACCAGAGAAGTATTATTTAAAAAGGTAATTAAAATTTTATTCAAAAATTATTTTTAGCGATATATATTTTTTATTCAAAAAATTTTAATATCAAAAATTAAAGAAAGAAAAAATTATTTGATGATTTTAATTGAAAAAATATTTAATAGTAAAATTCTTTCCAGGTTTGTGGCGAAAACGTTCAACGTAATATCGATATTCTGCCAAAAATGTTGGAAGTAACTGCCGACATATTTAACCGAACTCACAATCTCTACGAACTCCACAATTTGCATACTTTACCCTAATAATTAGCAATTATAGTGAAAAACACAAATAAATTCAACATTTACCGAAAAAAAAAACACTAAAAATTTATACCACCTATTAATTATTAATTAAAGCATTCCAGGCTTATAGGTTTAAAAAAAATAATTATTTAGCATTTATATTTATTGTACGTAAATTTATTTATTGCTTACAAGGTAAATTATTATTATTATAAAACAATGTTTGCGTTGTTAAAATATAATTGATCGATGAATGTGATACAAAAGCGGGATTTTTTGGCAATATAAATTATTTTACAAACTTTAACAATCTTTATTTTGTTCTTAGCTCCTTATTTTTGTCTTATATATGTGGAAAAATTTTCTAACGTCGTAAAAAACGTCACTAAATAATATTTTTATAAAAATTAGTTCTAAAAATTCCCAACAGGTGGCGCATTGTCGCTAAATTTTCTCCCTATCAGAGAGTTCATTTTTATAAACTAAGTATTGAACGAAATTTCAAAAAAAATTTCCACAGATGATTTTATATTAATTATTATTAAATTTTTTACTTTAAAAATAAAAAATACTTATTTAATACATTGTAGAATTGTTTACTAACGATTCATAAAATTCCTCATTCATTAACATACCTAAAAAATAAAAAATAAATAAATTATTTCTTCATGATTAACTATTAAAAAATAAAAAAATTCTAACTTACCAGCAATAGAAGCCGACATAAAGCAAACAATAGATCCACCAATGAAAGCTCTAATAGCAACAGCGGCAATCTGCTCCCTCTTATCGGGCGCCAACTGACCCAATCCCCCCATCATAATTCCTACCGACCCAGGATTAGCGAATCCGCAAATAGCAAAAGTAGCGATTCCTTCGACTCTCGGGGTAAGTTTACCCAATTTTTTAAACTCTCCCAACTTTTGATAAGCTACGAATTCATTTACTACCGTTTTGAGCCCAATAAGAGTAGCTACGTCCTCGCACTGGTCCCAAGGGACCCCAATTATCCAACTTAGCGGCATAAACGCTCTAGATAGCAAGTATTCGAAGGTCAAATCCGTGAAACCTACCAGTCCGCCAAACCACGACAAAATGGCGTTGAAAAACGAAATGAAGGACACAAACGCTACTATGTTAGCTATGATTCCCAAAACTAGGGGGATTCCCGCCAGAGCGCCCTTTGTAGCGGCATCCATTACACTAGTGTCCTCTGATTTTTGAAGCGGGATATTTTTGAACGTTGTTTGGCTCTTTTCAGTCTCGGGGTAAAATAATTTGGAAAAAGCTAGTGATGCTGGTGCTGCCATTACTGATGCTGTTATCAAGTGCGCTGGTTGGGCGCCAAAACTTATATATGCTGCTAATACCGTCCCTGTAGTTAATTAATTAATTAAGTAATTAATTAATCATTTTATCAATTCTAGGTATGTTAATTTAAATTTACCAGAAACTGAAGCAAACCCAGAAGTCATTACAGAATGAATTTCTGAAGTCGTCAATTTATTAATATAAGGTTTGATCAATAATGGAGATTCTGTCTAAAATTCAAATTAGTCATTGTCATTATTGATGATTAATTGATTATTATTAATGACAAACCATTCCAAGGAAAGTATTGGCAGCAGCATTGAGAGATTCACAGACAGTTGTACTCATCACTGCATGTAAAGCCCAGCCTAATTTTAGTATCACCCATTGCATGGCGCCCAGGTAGTACAAAATTTGGATCATGAAACTGAAGAAGAATATTACTGGTAAAGCCTAAAAAAATTTCAAGGATATTGAAATTCCATTAAATGGATGTATTTGATACATAAGTTGGAAATTTAACTTACGGAAAATGCAAAAACTTTGCTGTCTACAAGTTGGTCAGAAAAAACAAATTTTGAGCCACTTTCGGCGTAGTTTAAGAATTTAGCGACTTTGTTTGATAAGCATTGGAATATCATTCTGCCAACTGACCAACGAATTGTTAAAATTCCAAAACCAAATTGAAGGATTAGACCCCAGATTACAGGTCTCCAATTTATCTGAGTGGTCATAAGTTAAAAATTAAGATCTTCATTAGATCTGATTCCAATTGTTTGGATCTGATTCTAATTAATTGGATCCAACTCTATTAAATTAGTTCTAAATCTAATTTTAATTCCAATTAATTAGATCTGACTTTAATTAATTGGACAAAATCTAATTAATTAGAGTCAGATCTAATTAATTAAATCTGACTCTGATTAATTGGATTTCGTTCTAATGAATGAGATCTGGCTTTAATTAATAAAATATAATTCCAATTAATTCGATCTGACTCCAATTAATTAGATCTAGATCCAATAAATCAGATCTGACTTTAATTAGTAAGATCTAGTTACAATAAATTAGATCTGACTCCAATTAATTAGATCTAGTTCCAATAAATCAGATCTGACTCCAATTAATTAGATCCAACCCTAAAAAAAAAAAAATAAATAAATAAAAAGCGACGTAAAATATATATTGATACCTTGCGCGGATGCTTAGAAAATAATAGACCAAATGAAAGCATGACAAACATCCCAATACAGCTTATTAAACGATCCCTTGACCCAATCGTGTCGTAGATCAAAAAGACTATTACTGACGCCAGTATAATTAAGTAGAATAATGCTTTTATTGAACATGATGCGTATCTACGACCGAATAAGTATTTACATTTTATATTGCATACTATTAAATCTCACAGTGTTATAATTTATAATAATAATAAAATTATTTATTTACTCATCACTTTGAGTATCATTTGTTATGTGAATAACATTGTTTACCTTATTCGGTTGATTGACTCCAAGCAGTCGCAGCACGGTCGGAAAATCAGTTTTATCGCATTGGAAAAATACTTTTTTATAATAAAGTAGTAACACAAACTTAAGTACGTGATTGATATGAGGAGTAAGAGCATTCCATACCCGTCGCACCACTCGAATACACAATTATTGTCTGGAATATAATTTTTAAAGAAAAAATTTCTTTTTCAAAATTTCTTAATTAATTTTTAACTTACTATTTTTGGACCAGTAAAGACTTGCAAAAATTAAGTAAATCAATACGACAATATTTATTGCAATTACTCCGAAGTATTTGATAAGTGCGTTTTTATTTGAAAAGCATAATTGAAATTTTGTTTCTTTTTTTAAACTTTGAGAATTCTGCAATAAATGATTTTTTTTATTTGATTGCAAGAAAAATAAATTATCAGATAGATAAAAAGATAAATTACCTCACTGTCAATACTTTCGATGTATTTTTTTTGTTCCTCACCATTGTTTTCCTTGTAAATAAAAAACGTCATTAATAATTTATTGAAATTTTATTGATGAATTAATAATAGTTATTTAGAAAGAGGAAAATATTTTTATGCGCAATTTATTCGTTAATTTTTTCGTACTTGATAATTATTTATTTAAAATTATCTATTAAAAATTTTAGATTTAATTCTAATTCATTAGATCTGACTCTAATAATTAAATCTGATTTTAATAATTAGATCTAATTTTTATCAAGCAGATCTTGTTCTAATTAATTAAATCTTATTCCAATTCATTAGATCTTGATCTAATGACTAAACATCATTCCAATTAATTAGATCTGGTTCTAATTAATTAGATCTTACTCCAATAATTAGATCTGTCTCTGATAATTAGATCTAATTTTTATAAAGTAGATCTTGTTCTAATTAATTATATCTTGTTCCAATTCATTAGATCTAGATCTAATGACTAAACACAATCCTAATTAATTAGATCTTACTCCAATAATTAGATATGGTTCTAATTAATTCGATCTCATTTCGATTCATTACATCTAAATCTAATTACTAAATATTCTAATTCATTAGACCTTACTCCAATACTTAAATGTGGTTCTAATTAATTAGATCTGGTTTTAATTCATCAGACCTTATGCTAACTAATTAGTCAGAGCAAATTAGTTAGATCTAATTCCAATTAATTAGATCTGACCTTGATGATTAAATCTGATTCTAATTAATTAGATCTGATACCAATTAATTAGATCTGGTCCTAAATATTTAGACACGATTCTAATTAATTAGATCTAACTTCAATTAATTACAAAATTGTTTTTTTTTTTAATTTTATTTAATCCGCTGCAAATATTAAAATTATAAAAGTATCTCACCTTAGTTAGATCAATGGAAATTCTTAAATTATGTTCACTAATTTTTCTCTCTACCTATATAAAAAAAATTAATAATTAAAATTTGCTAATAAAAATTTTACAATAATTAATTTACCTCTGAAAAAGCGGGACTGGCAATTCCAGCCATTAGATTCTATCAAATCTTACTAATAAATATTGATAAATAACTGTAAATACAATTAATATTAATTTATAAATTTATAACAAATTAATAAATCATTAATATCAGCACAAATTTTCAAACAGGTGAATGTACTCTCTATCAACTAAGTTACTATATTACCAATCAATGTCACGTGTTTCGTAATTACTTTATTGAATTACTACTTACCTACTCTCCACAAGTAACTCTTCAGTTATATTTAAATCCGTATCACATTCATTAATTATTACTTTTAAGTCAACAATATAATTTGTTAAATTTATTGATTTGAAAATTTATTTTTCATACGCTAACAAGCCGAACGTTATTCTGAGACTGAAGAGATACTATGATAAAATTATTATGTGTCAATATCGTCATCAAGATGTCGTTAGATGTCTTCAGATAAGATGTAAGTAATTTGCCGTATATTTACATCATAATTATTTAGTTATTTATTTTTATTATATTTTATTAACAGTTAATTGGTTAATGTGAAAATATAAATTAACTCAGATTAATTCATAAATATCAATTAAATTTAATAATATGATACTATTGTCAAGGTCAATTTAATTTTCTATCGATCTTAATGATAAAAATAAAAAAAAACAATTTTTTTTTAATAAAAAAAAAAAAATAATTTTTTTTTTTAATTTTTGATGATTAGATTAGCAATAGAATTTTTTGTAGATTAAAATTTTCGTTAGATTAAGATAAATATTAATTCATAAGTAAATAAAAATTAATTACTTGATAAAAATTAATCATCTAATTTTTTATAAAGATTTAAATTATAAAAAATTATTTTGACTTTAATTTTTTAAAATTAAGTAAAAAAAAATTTCATAAAAATTATTGGAACAGTTTAATGAATTTTCTTTTTATGTAATCTATTAAAATTAAATTGAAGAAAAAAGAAAAATTAGCAAAAGAGTGTAAAAAGGAAATTCGTAAAATAAAATCTAGTATGAGCCGGAAAAAACTTGATGCATTTCCGTTACCAGATCTTAATAAAAAGTATATTAAATATAGAATGAAAATGATAATAGAGCTGTTAATACCAAAGACATTGCGGTAAACTCGTTATAAGTTATAATAAAACAGCGAAATTTAGTCTACTATTTATCGCGTTTCACTTATTCGTACTCTTACCCAGCAGTTTTAATAATTATCAGCACTTATCTTGTATTACGACTTACTTTTAGAATATAAGTACATTATATATGCAATAAGAATGCCGTGGTCCTAATGTGACTATTTTTCCGCTACGTGACTTTAAGTAAATTCTTTTCTTCATCCTCATCGGCAAATAATTAACCTGATACCTTTTACATTGTGTTATTTAACACGCAAAATATTTACAATTTTTTTAATTAGGCTCTTTTTTAACCGCAAATTTTAATTAAACTCTCGAAAAGATCTAAATTTTGGTATTAATTCACGAAAAACTGCAAAAACCCAGAAAATTTTTATTTTTTTTTTTTTCAATTAGGCATTTCACCAAATTTCATTATTTTACTGGTTTAGAGGATGGCTTATGACCTAATCTTGAAGGAAAAAAATAAACGGGACCTAAAAATTAATTATAAAAAAAGTTTTCTTTGTTAGGTATTTTCAAGGTCATCGATTTTTCCGCAAAAAATTGAATTTTGACGTTTATTTCTTTTTAAAACCTTAAAATAAGTTGAAAAATGTTATTATCACTGTTAAGGAAGTTGAATGGGAGTGTAAATAAATTTTTAAAATTAAAATTGATCAAATGGCTGGCCAAAAAAAAAATAAAAATTCTTTTTTTTTTTGGTTTTCTATAATTTTATTTAAAGAAACTATGTTTTTGTCTATCGGCTAGACTTCTAGAATTATACTTCTAAATGAGTGTCGAAAATAGTAATCTCCCGGCGACATCTTGCGTGGGAGATTGGGCGTTTGCGCAATAACAAATACGCAATTCAAATTTTAAGTTTTAAACTAACCCAGCAAATTTTAATGGGCCTCATTTCTTATCTGATATAGTTATTGGACCCGTGTACCAGTATCCGTAGTAACTTTGATTAAATTACCATGTTATTCTCCAAATTTCCATACTGTTTTTCGGTGATAACCTCACTTTTGCTATGCGGGTGTTCTAACCCTGAATTTAAACTAATATTACTTTTCGTTTTATAGATATAAAAAACTAATTTAATATTATTGTTGACGTAAACCACTTTTTACCTGGAAGTGTTGAATTATTCTCAAACTTAATATTTAAAATTAATTTTGTTTGTCCAAATTTCTTTCTGGACACTTTGACCCCTTGACATTGAGCTCAACAATTTTTTTTTTTTTTTTTTTATTACTATCGAGTCCAGTGAAAGTTGGAACTAATTTCTAAGTCGTTTTATACTAAATAAGGGTTAGTTGGGTTTTATTGTTTAATTAATTGCTATTTAATGAATTTCTAGTAATTTTTAGCTTGCAAAGAGGTTGGTGCAACGACCAAAGTGTGTGTACTAAAACACGAGCGTAGTAAAGCTTTATCCACTCGGCTTTACGTACATAAATGTAATGAACTAACCTAATTCCAAAAATTAGCAAAGAATCTACCACTAGCGACACCTAGCGGCGATTTTCTGCATTATTATAACATACTAAGGCTTTTTTATTAAAAAAAAAATTTTTTTAACATTCTTAAATATCTTTTAAGCTGAAAAAATTATTATTAAAAAAATATTATTAAATAAAAATTAAACAAATTAAATTTTTGAAAAAATCTAGTCAATATTTAAAAAAAAATTGAATTTTATACAAAATGTCAATATTTAAAAAAAAACTTAAATTTTATAAAAAATTTTATCAATGATTTAAAAAAAAAATTGTTGAGTAAATTTCCGCTATTTATTTCAGTCCAAATAAAAAATCAATAAATCAAAAAAAAAAAGCGATATTTATACTCCCAAAACAAACTTAGCGTAATTATAACATTAAACACGTCTAGACGCCAGACTGTCTGTTCACAGTTACCTCACTTAGAGTATCTCTAAAATTCCAATCATACACCCAGTATCTTCATCATCATCAAATATATGACTCCTTCACCCGTCAAAAGGCACACGTGTCCTTTCAACATATACTCCAAATAATTAGCCCCATCCGTCTCAAAATGATATATTTACATTAACTATCCTCCTCTCCACGTTTTATTATTTTCAATGATACATTACCATTTACATCCAAGATTATATCTCACAATTCGTCTAGACACCGTGGAAGGGAGGCCCTCTCTATAAAGTCCTCCATCAACTCTCCGGAGATCAATCGCATCCACTCTCTCAAATCAAAACAAACTTATCCTCAAAACAATATTAAATATTTCTACAAAAATCTAAATCCTCTAATTTAACTCTCAATTTTAAAATCTTAAGTATTAACCACTAAAAAAAAAACTATATAAATACCTCTTTTAATTTACGCGTGACTACGTACCTATACTTATGCTTTGATACTTACACCGGCGGTCTCAGTTGAGCCGAACATCTCGCACCGTCAACATTACCTCCCGAAACGTTTATATTAATTCTCTAATTGTGAAAAAAAAATGGTGATTAATTTTTATTAAAGTTTTAAAGTGCTTTCAAGATGATTAAAGTGATAATTATCCTGACAATTGTCACGTGCGCGTGCTCAAGACCCGCGAGTTTTAATTCAGAAAAGAAAATAACTCCTTTTAGTACTAAAACGTTGGAATCGATGCTGGAAAAAGCTATTTTAAAGATAATTACAGGCGAGCTTAGCAATGGAGATTTGTTGCTTTTAAGGAGCTTGAATTATAGTCTAGAAGAAGTTTTGGAGATTCGCGAAAGAGAACTTGCTAAAAAAGAGGACAATTTGTTGTCTAAGGAGAATTTTTCTACCGGAAAATTCGAAGATTCTGACGGAGTTGACGTTGCAGAGTACAACAGGCAAGCTGTTTTGGATTATGAAACTTTAGCGAATAAAATGGAGGAGGAAAAGGAGGAAATTCAGGAGGTAGAGCCGGAAAATGAACATTTGGCTTTTGATAAAGCGATGGAGCCGCACGTGGTGTTTAAGATTAGGTTTAATGAAACGGAAGATCAAGAAGGTGATTTAGGAGGTGCTCTTCCTAATTTAGATTCAGGAGGAAGCACTCCAAGATCGGAATTAGGTTTATTTCCTGGGAATCGTTCTAATGAAAATGATGCTAATTTGACCAGAAGGGAGTACGAAGGGTTAGAATGGGTGGAAGACGATGTTTACCGAGTAATTCCGGAGGCTTTGGATCAGGAAATCCTCCAGGAGTTTAAGGAAGAGCAGGAGGAGGAAGAAGAGGAGAAGGTGGAGAAGCTGGGGGATTATGCAGCGGATCAGGAGGTTGACAATGCCAATTTGTCCGCCTATCAGCAATTGGCGCTGGCTCATCGGAGAGAGTAAGTAGAGATTTAAGGGTGGTTTTGGAGGGTTTTGGAGGTGCTAAGGATTGGTGATAATTGTATTTTTAATTTCTAGCGGGAATCACTCGGGCTTCGATAGGTAAGCTTTGGCTCTCAGTGCTTTTGCTGGTATTTTTGGAAGCTCAATGCCAGATACTTTTTGCTATTTTTAAAATTGGAGCTTTGCCAGGGTTTTGTTTTGAAGAGATTTTTTGTGCTTGAGGATCTAAGCTTTTATGGAAAATTTTAATCGCTATTTTTAAACAGTTTTCTTTTAATTAATTAAAAATTTAATTTAAGAGATGGAATTTTGGATTAAAGTTTGGCAAAATTTTTAAAGCTTGAAAATTTGCGCTTTTTAATCAAACTTTTTAAATAATATTTACAGATTTATTAATATGGCTTTTATTTAAAAATACGCTTTTTTAACTTCTTATTTGCGATCTAAAATTTTCAACACTCTTTTTTGTTTCTTTAATACAAAATTATAATTTTTGTTTTGAAAATAAAAAATTAAATTTTTTTATTACTTTTTGCAGCATCTATTAACAATAATTAAATTTTTTTTATTTAAAAAAATTTTTTTATTAAAAAATTGACAAAAATTTATTTTTACCCAAAATTCATTTTTTATAAGATTTATTTTTTTTTCAAATATGCGCCCTATTATTGTTATTATCATTTTTACCAAAAAAAATTTTTTTAAATTGAAAAAAAAATTTTTTTCTTAAAAAATTTCACCATTCTTAAGATCAGTTCCTAAAAAACCAAAACAAAATATTGACGTGCCCTTTTATTTAACAAAAGATAATATAATAACGTAACTGTAGTCCCCACCTTATATTTCTCGGCTTGTTGCCCCTTTCGCGACGTACATGCTCGTTGGCGTTTCTTTTATTTTATTAAGTCTAGACTTGAAAATGCATTCGTGCCCGACATTGGCGTAGTTATCTTCTACTCTCTCTTCTCTTAAACAATAAATCTTAAATTACCCATTAAAATAAAAATAAATAACACAAATCTTAAAGTATTAAAATTAAATTAAAATAAATAGCGCGCCAAAATAATGGTGACATCTAATTTCTCCTGGCGAACGGAGAAGTGGGTCACTTCCTCCTCGGGTCTAATATTAAATTTTTGTTGAATGGCTTACTTATTAGTGTTATGTTTGTAGTTTGTCTGATTTGAAATCTCGCCGGTTTAAGAGGAGAGTCTGCAAATGTATACACACGTTTGCGTATAGTACCCAGACAGGTACCAGACGGGTCACGTACGCGACGCAATGTTGTAGAATGCCCGGCGCGACAAGATTGACACGCGCGTGCATTGAATCAAGTGTTATGTCGACATTTTTTGTAATTCAACTAATTTAAGTTCCTTTTTTTTATTTATTTTTATTCGTAACTTATCAATCAATCGAGATACAAATTCCAGTCCTATTTCATTATTTCGCAAATTTAATCCTCTATAAAAAAAGGTATATTTAGTTTTTTTCTCATCTTTATTCCTTATCAAGATATCGGCACTTTTGTGCCAATGCCTCAAAATCCTCAAAAATCCTCTAAAAATTCAAGAATTTAAACTTTAAAAATTCGTAACTTGAAAAATAAATTTTTTAAAAATCCTGAGTTGGCATAATCGTATTCTAAATTTAACGCTCTACAAAAAATTCAAAAAAATTCAAAAAAATTCAAAAATTCTAACTTAAAAAAAAAATCTTTTTTTCGGTTTCATTCTTTGTGGCTTATTTAATTATTTTTACTATAAATTATTACAGCAAAAGGTGCTAGATACTTCAAAATAAATGTACAAAAATGCCGATCGCTGTAGGTCAATTACAAAAAAAGTTTTCTTTGTTAGGTATTTTCAAGGTCATGAAATTTAATAGATTTTTTGGGAAATAACCAATTTTTTCGCAATAAACGGCTAAAAAAAAATACTAATTACAGTTTTTGTAGTCGAAATTATGAATAATTTTACATCTGATATGGTGATATATGATACAAAAAATTTTTTTATTAAAAGAATAATTTTTTCTCTTAGAATTCAAATATTATTAAAAATTTGTAACTTAAAAAGTAATTTTATAAGAAATTCTGGGTTGGCATAATTGAATTCTAAATTGAACGCTCTATAAATAAGGTATCTAGTTTTTTTTCGTATCTCTTATAGTTACCTAGAAATCAGCATTTTAGGAACAGTCCTTAAAAATTCTAGAATTTAAGGATTTTAATTTAAAAAGTTCGTAACTTGGAAAGTAATTAAGCTAAAAATATTGGGCTGGAGTCATTTTCTTCTAAATTTAACGCTCTACAAAAAAGGTATCATTAGTTTTTTTCGTATTTTGTACGGTTATCGAGAAATCATCGCCGATTTGTTAAAATCCTGGAAATTCCCGTGAATGAGACAAATACCCGGAGATAAATAATTATGGGAGTAAATTACCTTGCAAATGAAGATTGAGGAGGTTGAAAAAGAGTTTGAGGCCTCGAGAGATTAAAGGAGAAAGGAAGTGAGAGCAAACAGAGACTGAGACTGAGACAGAGACTGCTGGACATCAGAGAAACAGACAGACAGTCAAGGGAATCGGGTGCTGCTGACGTTTCTCCCTGTCTAGCCGCCGTCTAGATCGTAATAATAACGAGTAGCGCCTCTGGCCACGCGGCTGTCTGGGTCACTGACCATTCATACCTCTCATACATACATATATACATCGACAATAAGACACGGTTGCCGATTTAAAAGTCTCACGCTTACTTGTTAGTTAACATCCAAAGTTATTTATCTTTATGCATGTCTGAGTTGTTAATCCTCAAACCCTGCAAATTAATACCGATTTATAACCTAATTACGGTTTTGTCAACAGCCAAGGACAGAAGGCCATCGAGGACATAAAACTACGGGTCCTGGCGATGACCGGCCGGTTTAATCTCTCCACTTCTGACAATCAGGTCCAGAGGGAGCGACTCACTATGTTTACGCCGACTTGTAAGTTTTTGAGTTTGTTTTTAATAACACGTTTGAATTTTTTAATATAAATTTTAAATTTCAGGTGAAATTCCTAAAAATACCGACGCTGAATCCTGGATTGATCCTTTTTCGATGAACATGTTCTTTCAACTTAATTTAACAGCCGAGGAACATATTGTCGCTGCGAAGTTACGATTGTTTAAACTCCCGCAAAATGAAACTTTGGCAACTACTAGCAGCCCTTCCGAAGAAGAGGATGGAGAAGAAAAGAAAGTTAGGATTTCTATTTACTATTATATGAGGTCGCTTAAAAAATATCGATGTAAGTCATTTTAAATTATTAAATTAATTTAAATAACTATATTAAGTCCACATTAGAACATTTCTAGTTAGATATAGCTTCATAAGACTTGATATTATCATATCTAACCCAATATAGTCTAATAGGCTCAAATAAAACTTTTTTATTGAATTTAGTACCAAAAAGTTCCAACAGGTGGCGCATGGTCGCTAAATCTTCTCGCTACCAGAGAGTTAATTTTTAAAATATAGATATTTTAAATTAAATTTTCTAAAGAGCTTATCTATCATTAATTTGAGATTGATCGAGTCTAATCTATAAAAAATATAATTTTTCAGCAAAGAAAAAGCTAATGGACAGCGTAGTGACTCCCCTAACCTCAGAAGGCAGCCATCTTGCCTTGGACGTGAGACAAGCTCTAAGATACTGGAGACAAGCCCCCAAAGTAACCAGCGGGACTAATAACCACGGCCTGGTGGTCCAAGTCGAGGACCAAGATGGCAGACCCCTAAAACCAGGACTTTTTATCCAAAGGGATGGCTGCCAAGAGGAAAACTCAGATAACAAGGCATGTGAGTGTGTGCGCTAACCTCTAACGCTTGTTTTAGCTAATTTTAACCACCGCTTTCTTTGCATGGTTTTTTAGTGACTAGTATTTTAAAATTAATTAATTTTTTGGATTAATTTTAATAATTAATTGATTTTTTACAGACCAACGCGTCCCTGCACTCTTCTTTAGAGCCTGTTCTCGTTACGTTCGCGTCGTAAATGAAGAGGCCGTGACTTACGTGGACTGTAGTCATAGACATAGATCTGCGAGGCATCGTAATAGATCGTAATACATTATTTAATAGCTTTAGATTGTAGACTAGAGATAAGAATTGAGATAATGATTAATTAGTTTGAAAAATAAGTTACTTTTTAAGGTTTTTGCTTAATTTTTAGAGACTGTCAATTTAACTCTAACTTACTAGAATTTATTTATTTTTTATGTAAATAGTTAATTAAGGGTACTTTTTTTTTATTTTTTATTTAAATTAATATTAAGTTTTTATTATCGATGACTGAAGATAATTTGAAGCGTTCCTAGCTATTTTTTTAAATTTAATTTGCTAAGGAATATTTATTTTTATGAGTCAATTTTTAATTAGATTTTAAAATAATTGTAAATACTGTATATTCATTTAATTTTTAAATAAATTTATTGACAAATATTAAGAAGATGTTAATATAATTAAAAATTTGAAATTTTTATTTTTTTGTCGCCGTAAGATGGATTATTTTGCTGTAAGATGAATTTTTGAACATTTTTTGGTTTTAATCAAAAATTATTTTCAAAAATCGTGTTTTAAATTGTTATTAAACGGTCATTTTTGCCGTAAGATGAATATATGCTGTAAGATGGATCCATATCGCTGTAAGATGGATTTTTAAGGCGTTTTTTTTCTGTTTCTATCAAACATTATTTTCAAATTTGTCTTCTAAAATTTTATTAAACCCTCTTCTTGCCGTAAGATGGGTTTTTCCAATAAGATGGACATTTTATTGCTGTAAGATGGATCTATATATCGCTATAAGACGGAGTTTTCGCTTTCAGATGGAAAAATTCTATTGTAAGATGGATTCTGAAGGTTTTTATCAATCATTATTTTCAAAAATCGTGTTCTAAATTCCATTAATTACTTATTTTTGCCGTAAAATGGATTTTTTGTAGTAAAATGGACATTAAATCGCTGTAAGATGGATATATAGATCACTGCAAGATCAAATTTCCGCTGTAAGATGGAAAAATTTCACCGTAAGATAGATTTTTGAACATTTTTTTGTTTTTATCAAACATTATTCTTAAAAATCATGTTCTGAATTACATTAAATGCTCTTTTTTGCCGTAAGATGGACATTTTTATTGCTGTAAGACGGATATATATCACCCACCACAAGGTCAATTTCCCGCTGTAAGATAGAGAAATTCCGCTATAAGATAGATTTTGAAGGTTTTTTTCGGTTTTTATCAAATATTATTCTGAAAAATCATGTTCTCAATTCCATTAAATGCTCATTTTTGGATTTTTGCTGTAAGATGGACACATATTTCTATAATATGGACACATATCGCCGTAAGATGGAATTTTTAATATTTATTTATATTATCAATCACCTTCTAAATTATATTAAACGGTCATTTTTGCCGTAAGATGGATTTATTATTAAAAAAGATTTACTAATGATCTATCAAGATCCTTTTTACCAATTAAAACTCCAACTTCTAGCTAATCGATAGCCAAACTGCTGCCACCTGTTAGCGCAAATCAGAACCCTTTCACCCGCAATTGTACATACCATCGCTTGAAAATCATAATTTGCGCATGCCTATACGTACTATACGTCAGCACAATCACCCAATCAGGTGATTTTCGCCCACTCTCGCTTTTTTACATCCAAAAAAGTATATGTATACACCCGATACACGTATGAATAACACATAACCACTCGCTTGATATATTCAAGTGATTTAACGATCATATAACACGTAAATTATAATATGACAGTGTAACACTCATATATATATTTAATATTATATCATATCACTCGATATTTCGGTGTCCTCGGATAACTATCGAATTGAGAAGCTAACCCGCGAAATGTAAATCAATTCGAATTAACCAAGTTTATTTTTGTTTAAGTTTTATTAATAATAACGTAATAGTTAAAATATTTATCGTTTTATTTATATAAATTTTATTTCATTCTAAAAAAACTACGGCGTAGATTGTCCTAATTCATATTCACATGGCTCATTATAAATTCGCATGACAATATTCGTTCTAACATTTAAGTTTAATATTAGTCCGTTAACGTAAATTCAACCGGCAAGAGGCAAAGGTGCGTCTATATTTGTGTACTATTTTATTAACGTCATTACAAATAAATTTATTCGGTAACTCTAAAGCTTATTTTTGACCGATCACAAAATTTCCGCCGTAAGATGGACGAAAAAGATCTACAGCTTGCTAGAGCATTAGTCGGCCTGGATATTAACGACCAGCCTAAATCTGTCGTTGGTAATATGCAAGACAAGCAGCAATTATTCAGGTGAGTCATAAATTTTTTTTAAATTATTAGGGTAATTTTACAACGCCGCAAAAGGTTCAGGGTTCGAATCCTCACCAGGGTCAGAAAATTAAAATTAACGGTATAAGTTAATTTATTCAACGAAATATTTTTTACTTAAATTTCTTAATAAATAATATTGTTGCTCAACAAAGTAAATATTTTTTTGTGTCAAGGATTTTTTTATTAAAATAATTACAGATTGTTTTACTTTCATTTACGTTGCTGGTCATTAATCACTTGTGAAACATTAATCTTTATTGATCAATATTTTTTTTTTTAATTTATTTTTTAGGACTATAATTAATAGGAAGTTCTTTAATATTATTCAGAATAATTAATCCCAAAAATAATTATAAAAATTGGAGATTTCTTTAAATTGAGAGTTTAAAAAAACAATATAATGATAATAATAAAGAAAATTTGTTTTGTTTAAAGCAAATCGGAGTTATCAGTTGAGCACGCCGAGCCCCGAAGGTAAATTAATATAAATAGCTCGTCAGTATTATTATCGTTGCATCATAGATGTCGCACCTGGCATGAATTGTGGAGTTTAATATTTATGTGATAATAATTAAATTTATTATCACATGTTAAGATTAAGTTCAGTTGTGATTAATGCTTGAGCAATTGTTATTAAAATTACACCCAAGATATTTGTTGCATTTTGCTGTAGCACTGCACCCTTAAGGCCAGTCAGCTTATTTATAAATTACACACTTCATAAAAAAATTAATTTCACAATTGTAACTAATTTGGCGCCAAATATAAATTTTTTTTTAATACCTTAATGCCAAAATACTGCACTTTTGATATAAACAATTACTTTACTGCTATAATTAATAATTAATTAATTGTAATTAAAAAAAATCAAAATTTAATTCCCTAGTATCTCTAATTGTGAGGATTTTTTTTTTTTTTTTTTTTTTAATTGTAATAAGTGCCAAATAATTGCTCATTCTATTTTCTATTGGAAATGATAGTTATTTTCTTTTTTAATTAATTAATAATATAAATAATTATTGGCATTAATTATTGAAAAAAAATTAATATTTGGCGCCAAATTAGTTACGATAATTTTACAAATACGCACGTTAGAATTCACAAAATTTAGTAAACTTTTTTTAAATAAAAATGAAGCGTGCAAAATTTTTTATTTACAAAAATTACACATTCCTACCTTACCGAGCTTAATTTAATAAGCCGACACACTTACGGTAAGTTTAATGTACTCGTAAGTGGGCGCTGGCGATCTTACGTAGCTTCTTAAAATACTATATTGTACTATATATGTACTATATAAACGGAGAAATTTTACCCCCTCTCCTTAGTAAATACTGTCCCTTTCCAAAGTACCGATCGTAGTATAGGTATAGTATATAGTATAGTAAACACATCCTCACGTGCGCATACTTTAGCTCCTATATAACATATAACATATGTAAAGTGTAACGTAAGAACACCATATTCGAACAAATCTTAAAGTTAAATCTCGTTGAATTAGTGAATCGCAAAACAATGTCGTTATCGCCATCTGGTAGCAGTGGGTTCCATTCTATGGAAGATTTATCCACATGGTAATTATTAATCTCAATTCTTATTTTTTTTTTTTTTTGTTTTATGCGTAAGTGTTAACTGTAATGTATACAACTACTCAGAAAAATATAACATATTATATATTTATATAATACAAACTTAAGAATTCAAATCCAAAATATTTTATCGTAAGATTGTCGTTATCTCTTAGTTTTTTTTTCACTAAAATTCATCTGTCAAAATGTGGGGCGGTCAGTACGATGTTTTGCATGAAGTTTACGAAACATATTGTCCGAAATTCAACAATTTTAATAATAAAAAGGTATTTTTTAATGTAAAATATTAAAGCAGAAATTTTTTTATTTAAATTTGTGGTTTTTGAATTATTAACTGAAAAATAATTGAATATTTAGAGAATTTATTGATTATTGTGTGCGCAGTATTGATTGGTAAGCAAAAAAGAGTTGCACTGCCCGGGAATCGAACCCGGGTCGCAAGAATGGGAGTCTTGCATGATACCATTACACTAGCAGTGCACCTTGCTCAATCTAGATAATTCTACGTACTAGACCAACTTTTTAGCGGTTCGCGAAATTTATTTTTTTTAAATTACAGCGATCTTTTAAATATTATTTGTATCACTTTTTATGTAAGTGTTTTATCAAGTATACTTATTTATTGCAACATTAAAAAAAAATTAATGGAGTCTTTAGTAATAATATAATTAGCAAAAAAGGCAAAGAAAAGAATAATTTAAGAAGCTTATAACTAATAACAATGATTTTAATAATCAATACTGACAACGTGTAATGTCGTATAAAAAATTAACGCTTGAAGCTTTAGGGTAATTCGATGCAGTACATTAAAGTATCCGATCGATATTTATAACTTACGAGTTACTACCATAAATAATAAATAAAATAAATGACATTGTGCTACACATTTAATACTATAAGTAGGTGTCACACTTTTGTGTTAACCCAAATATTTATATGCCGAATTTTGTTAAAAAGAAAGTAACGTAAACATTGTAATTGGTAATCTTGGTGACGTAAATCGGTAATCGGCAACCTTGACCATAACATTCCGATAATAAGTATGATTATTTTGTTTATTGCAGTCCGAAAAGACGAATTATTATTGAAAATATAAATAAAGAATTATATAAGGAACTGGCGTAACTGCGACATATATTTCGATTAAACCTGGCCGAAAGTGTATGTATGTATGAATGCAATATATAAACAGTGAATTACATTTTTATAATTTATTGAATTAAAAGAAAATTCTTTGGTGTAAATTCCGATGGTGTAATAGAATTCCAGAATTCCTGAGGATTGATTTTTTTTTTAATGATTTTAGTGAAACGGGAATGTATAATCGCGCTTTCTATATTACACGCCTAAAAAGGAAATTCTTTGGGACTATTATGTTAATTTTTAAAATTCTTTAATAGGATTTAATTTTGACAAATGTATTTTTTAATTAAAAATAATAATAATAATAATGATAATAATAATATTGGCCAAAAAAATTTAGAATTATTATTATTATTCTTATTATTACTATCACTATTATTATTATGTTTATTATTTATATTCTTATATCTTTATGATAATGCTATTAATATAATATTAATAATAATAATAATGGCCAAAAAAATTTAGAATTATTATTATATCATTATTATCAAAAATTTATTATTATTATTATTATTACCATTTTTATTATTATTAAATTTTTAATTTAAGAATTTTAATGATAATAATTATAATAATAATCTTGAATAAAAATTAATTTAGAAATAAATTTAAGATGAGTATAAATAATGATTAATATACGATGAGATTCTGCGCAATTCAAGATCCGGCCATTGTAGCTGGCATCCTAGTATTATAATGCGGCGTGCGTTGTTAACATTATCGCTCGGTGAATAAAAAATAAATTAAAAAATTATCTATCGTTTATCGCAATAAAAGTCTAGTTTTTTTTTATTATTCTACAAATGACTGATAAACATGGCGCTGCTGGATAATAAAAACATAAATAATGTTAATATTTTAAGTAATGGTAATGTTAAAGTCGATACCGAAGGCGAGGATGACGAAGATTTGCACTTGAGGTATTTTTAAATAATTTATCTTGCGAATTATTGACACATCGGTTATTTTTTTTGAATTTTTTAAGACGACAAGCAATTAGTGATTAATGATTTGTGATAAAATTTTAATTAAAAAATTTGCGACGACAGTGATTTATATTTTTCTTGTTTTTGATTATTTATTTATTTATTTATTTAATTGTTTGTAGACTGCTTGGATAATTAGAGACAATTAAATTGTTTCCGTTGTTATGTAATTGATGAGACATGTGCATGATTTTGTATATTTATCTATTTTTAGTGATTAAATATGTACTTTTGCAGATAAAAAATTTTTTATGTAGGAAAAAAAGTGATTTTAGTCAAATTTTGAAAATATGTAAGAAAAAGTGGGGATATCTCAATAACTATAAGACCTATTGAGAATTTCCAAATTTTGAAACTTTTAATATTACAGCAACTATCAGACCTATCAAAAAAACAAAAGAAACCTTTTTGTAGCTTATGACATTCTAAAGATAATAAATCCTCGATTATCAATTTCTGACCAGTAGATTTTGAGTTATGAAGAATTAAGAATTCATATATAGAATTCTTCATTAAGAATTTCCAAATTTTGACACTTTAATTATCTCAGCAATTTATAAGACCTATCAAAAAACCTAAAATGGCCTTTTTTGTAAAATAATTCCTTGATCATCCATTTTTAGTCAGTAATTTTTGAGTTACATGGATTTGAATAGTTAACATAGAATTCTTCATTATCAATTTCCAAAATTTGACACTTTAAATATCTCAGCAACTATGACCTATTAAAAAACCTAAAAAGAGCTTTTTTTTAACAGTAGTTTTTGAGTTATGAAGAATTAAGCATTAATATCGACGGTTTAATTAACAATTATTAGCTAAATATTGAATATTATATTTATATTATATATTATACATTACGTGCTAAACTGTATTTTTGATTATTATTATTATTATTATTATTTTATTTTATTTTTTTTTTTTCGATTTGTTCTTTATGAACTAGCAACTCTATTAAAACTGTGTAATTTAAGTACAATTTGTTATAAGTGGTATCTATAATTATGTAAATATTGTAATATTTTACTATCTCCATTGTATACACTGTTTATAAATTATGATGATTGTAAATGACCCTGTTATTGGCCGGTAGGCTGTTGGGTCTAAGTTAAATAAATAAATAAATAAATAAATTAAGCATTAATATCGACGGTTTAATTAGCAATTTGTCTAACTCTTTATTTTTTAGAACGTGATTTTATAACATTTTTATGTAGTAATGATCTAATTCTAAATTATTTGAATGATTTAAACCTAAATATTATATCTCTATTAGATATTAAATGATTTTTTAAAGTGATAATAAATTTTGAATTGTTTTTTTTCGTACAAACTAGAATTTAATTTGCGCGCGCAAGCGCGCGCGTCATCTTTATTTTCATGATATATTTATGTGTCGTTTATGTATATTATATTCACTTTTAACCAATCAGAATGAGAATAAATATTTTCAACCAAATACATCACGAATAAATTGGTTTCACATACATTTCATCTTAATTTTATTATGGGATAAATTTCCAAATTTTTACACTTTAAATATCTCAGCAACTATAAGACCTATCAAAAAACCAAAAAATACCTTTTTTGTAGCTTATAAAATTCTAAAAAGAATAAATCCTTGATCATTAATTTCTGACCCGTAATTTTTGAGTTATGAACAATTAAGAATTCATACATAGAATTCTTTATTAAGAATTTCCAAATTTTGACACTTTAAATATCTCAACAACTATAAGACCTATCAAAAAACTAAAAAATAGCGCCATTTAATTTCCACCCATTCATTTCGAAATTCCAAGGCTTTTATATTCATACCCACCAATTCAGACCCTAAATCCCAAAATTTAACCCCAAAAATATCTTCCAAGCCCCAAGAGATATTTGTTCCAAAAATTTCTCGTTAAATTCCTAAGCATTCCCTAAAACCCAATTCAATTAATCAGCCTGCTCCCTTCTCACACTAATTTCCAAGATTAAATCAGGTACTTAGTATCAGAGAGAAATTTCCACCACTTCCACCTCGGTCGTGTTGTCCCGTCATTCATCGTGAGACTTAGCCTCCGTTCGGTCGATCTCTCCAGACGAGTTATTACATTTAGCATCTTGACAAAATTAATTGCATTTTTTTGCCAACAAAAAAATTAACAAAGTGCAGTGACGTGTTAAGTGATTAACGTTTTTGCCTAGACATTGCTCAGTCTAGACTTTAAAAGGTCTTATTTATTAAATTCAACTATTTTAATTATTATAAAACAATAATAATAATCGTTAATAAGAAGTTATATCATCCAGCGATCATGCAATCAATAGAAAGTCGGTAATCTAATTCTTGATGCAAATCGGAGTAATTTTTTTTTTAAAAATTGTAATATAAGTAAAGTGTACATACTACGTACAAAATGAAAAAATTTACTTGACGTCATCAAGTATCGAAAGTATTTCAATAGCGTCCCTTTCACTTTTATTTTAACAACTTAAATTATCGAGGAATAAATATAAATTTAATAAGCATAAATTTGAACATGATTTTTTTGGTTTAAGAAAAAAATTTTTTTTTCTTTTTTTTTTGGACCTAAGCCGCGAAAAGTTAATTTAAAGCTGACTCACTTAGGAATTTGCAGCGTCACGTGCCTGTAAATTGTTACGCTAGATTTGAAACTAGAACGGATTGTTTATAATTAAAAGTATAAAAATAATGATGAATTGAATTAAAGGTGAACTTACATTTATTTTAATTGATTAGCAAGCATAAGTTCAGTGTAAATGTCAATTAATTCGTTAAAAAAAGCCACATTTAAAATTTTGATATTTTAATTTTAAAATTAAATAAAAATGGATCAGGTGACGCCACTTAGGGTCCGTCAGGGACTCGGTTTCATTGACGGTAATTTAGAGTTCGAAGTTAATGATAATAAGAATGTTAATGAAAATTGGAAGGAAATGGGTGGAAATGGTGATAGGGAAAAAATGGAAAACGGACACAAGTATCGTGTGCTAAGGTACTCTTGATAACTTAATTGCTTGTACGTTTTACTAATTAATAATTAACAACCTAGTCACTGTGTGACTTCCGTGACTTGTCAAATATAAATAAAATTTTGTTTTATTAAATAATGATTTTTGTTAAATTTCACTGTACTTTTTTGAATATTGAAGTTTTTCAAGATATAAGCTCATCCCATGTTATTCTCATCAAGACCTTTCATTTGAGTACCCACATCAATTTTTTATATATTTTATATATTTATATATATTATATATATATATATATATATATATATATATATATA